TAAAAACAACCACTAAACAAAATAACAATCAGAAATCTCTTTCTCCAGAGGATTTTAAAGGGATCCAATGTATTATTGAAAAAGTCCAAAATTACTTGCCATCCTCAAAACCAGGAAACTCTAAACTAATTTTTAAGGGAAAAGACAATTGACAGGTTCTGACCCTGAGATGGTCCACATATTGGACTTATCAAAGACCTTCAGTGGTACACATGTTTGAAATGAATGAAGAGTCAGAAACTTTTAGTAAAGAAATAGAAGCTATGAAAAAGAACCAGATGGAAATTATATAACCGAAGCATAGTATACCAGAAATGTTCCCCCGAAATGACTGAATGAATTTAACACAGAATAGATGACAGAAAAGACTCCTTCAATGTGAGGACAGATTAAGAGAAGATCTGTAATCTGAAGGACAGAGACAAATGAGTTTCAAAAAGTGAGCAGAAAGGGCTGGGGATTTTAGCTCCGTGGTGCTGCCACCCGCCTCTCAAGCACAAGGTCCTGAGTTCGATCCCAGTTACCAAAAAAAAAAAAAGTGAGCAGAGCCTCTGAGACCTGTGTGACTATAAGAAAAGATCTGATATTTTTGTTATGGAGATTTTTGACTAGGAAGAGTAAGACATGGACACGGAGAAAATATTTTGAAAAGATAATGGCTGAAAAATCCCCAAACTTAGTAAAAAAAAAATATACACACACACACACACACACACACACACACACACACACACATAGACTCAAGAGGTTTGGTGTACTCTGAACAAGATAAACTTAAGAAAACCATGCCCAGACATAACCGAATCAAACTTCTTTTATTTTTTATTCTGAGATGATGTCTCACTAAGTTGCAGGCTGACCTCAAACACACAATCCTCCTGCCTCAGCCTCCTGATTAGGTGGGACTATTGACATATGCTACTGTAACCATCTGGAATCAAACTTCTGACAATTAAAAGCAAAGAGCAATCTTTTAGGCAGTCAGAGAAAAAAATAATACTACACATGACACGAGGAGCAATAGTTCAAATAGCTGAAGATACATTATCAGAAACCATAAAAGTTGGAAGACATTGGAGCATGCTTTTTCAAAGAGAATAGCTATCAACTCAGAACCCTATATTTAGCAAACATCTTTCAGAAAAGACAGCAAAAGAAAGATATCCTTTGATGAGAAAAACTAAGAATTCTTAAGTAGCAGATATGCTTTAGAGAAAGCTTCATATAAGTTTTTCTGGCTGAAAAGGCAGAGTAAAGGAGTGAGGGAAACAAAACAAGATACAAAAAAGAAGTTACAAAGAGAAAAATGTAAAACAGGCAGACCTAAGTCAAATTATACCACTTATTACATTAAATATGAAAGGTAGAGACACAGACCTTCAAACACAGAGATCAGCACAAAAACAATGCTGCCTACTAGAAACTTGTTAAGTAGCTGTAGATCTACAGCTCCAGAAAATATCCAGAGTGCATCCCCAGATCTTTGCCATCCAATCTTTATCAAAAGCCCAGTTTTCAAAAACTCATGTTATTGTGACTTTCTTGATGGATTTACCTTCCTTATGTAGCTGTTCCTAAAAGATCTTTAGTTTAAGTGAAGTCATTGGGACTAAGTGTTCTCCTTAGGAGGACATCTGGGAGAAATTACTTATAATCCTTGAAACTTCTCTCTCTTTTTTTTTTTTTTTTGGTGCTGGGGATTGAACTCGGATCCTTGCACTTGTGCGGCAGGCGGTAGAACCACTGAGCTAAATCTCCGGCCCCCTTAAAACTTCTCTTAGTAAATTTCTTGTTTTCTCATTGACATCAATGCTTGTACAATTCATCAAGTTTCTCATTTTCCATTGGCTGCTAGGAAGCTCTCCATTCACCTCTCTATAATATTATAAGCAATCCTACCATAAAAGGCCCTAGGACCAAATAAGTTAGTGAAACATGAGGCTAAGCAAATCTAAGATGGTTTCTTTATTTTGTGATCCCTAATCCTTACCACCACTTTGGAAGCTGGTGCCAGTTTTACAGATGATGAGGAAACCGAGGTCTCAGAGAAGTTTGGACCACTCACACAAGATTCGCCACGGTGGCTTCAGGATTGAGTGACATCTCGGAGTTCTGCACCATCCAAGCCTAGATTAGCAAAGCCATGGCCAGCCTACAAACTCGTGAATGTGAAAATTGGTACTTACTGAACCACTCTGGGGCAGCAGCCTAGAATGATGGACAGGCTCTTGGGACCATGTGGGTCTGGCTTTGAATCTCTGACACCTTCCATCTGTAGCTAGGGGGACTTGGAGATGGTCACTTCCTTCTCTGGGTCCTTTTCCTCATTGGTGGAGTGAGACCAATGGTGCCTGCTTCAGCAGAATGTTGGGAGGGGTCTCTGATGCTGCAGAGTGGAGCCCCTGGCCTGTAAGTGTCAGCACATTTCCCTGGAGCTCACGCTCCTCACCATCTCTTCCGGAGCTGAGTGTGGCTGGAACCCTGTAAGGGGCCCTGCAACCTGGGCTGCCCAGCTGGTGTCACCCTGCTGCCTTTGAAGTTCATTGTGGCTACATGACTTGTGTTGTCCAATGGAGCATGACGGCAGTGTCCTGGGTCTGGGTAGAGGATTTAAGAGCCAGGACACAGTTCACCACCTCTGCCGAGCAGATGGCAGAGCAGTCAGACTCTCCGGCCTCCAGAACCGTGAGCCAAATAAACTTTCATTCTTTATAAATGACTCGGTCTTGGGTGTTTTGTTACAGCAACAGAAATCAGACTAAGGTAATAAGCAGTGGACCAAGTATGAACAACAACAAAGCAAGCCTTTGGTGTTTCAAGCCATCAAGATGTGGGGCTGTTGGTTACTGTATTCTGTCCTGCTACAGTGGAACAGACTATGTTTCCATTTGAAGGATGGGGCAGTGGAGGAGTTGTGACCTGACTACACAGAGGGGTCCTGGGACCCAGGGTGGGGCTTGGCCAGAGGGAGCACAGTTTGATCTTTCAGGGGAGACAGCAGTGGTGAATGCGTCTCTGAACACACTTCCTGCAGCCACTGGGACACGAGCCCCCTCCCCAGCAGCAGCTGACATCACCAGGAGAAGAAGCAGGACCCTCTGTTCAGAGCACGCGGGTGGCAGCATGGGAGGGGAGAGCATGGAGCTCAGGAAGCTGTCCTCTTGGGAGGACCAGATTTTCTAGACTCAGCTTTGCAACAGATGGGGTCATACTCAGTCCCTGTGCCCTGTATGTCCCTCTCACCTCAGTGGCTCCATCTATCGTCTGCCTGAGGAGTGCCTTTTCCTTGCTAGTGAATTTTGCCCAAGAAAGACTGGAAACTCATCCACTGGAAGCTGAGCACAACCAGGGTGAGCAGGAAGAGAGGCTGCTGTGTTATGCAGCATTTCTGTGACTGATATGTTTCTATCCAACACTTATCTCCCCCTTTCCTTCCACACAGAAATCTGATTTTATTCTGGGCAGTAGTGTGCTTGTGCAGAAGACTACATTTCTCAGTTTTCCTTGGGATGCACATAAAGGTTTTTGAGGGGAGGGAGTTGGAGACCCTCTTGGGGTCCCTGAGGACAGAAGCTGTGACGGGGACCTACCTCCTTGGCGTCTTTACACTAGTACTTTGGGTTGCTTTCTCAGCACTGGTTTGCGTCAAGCTGGCCTTTGGCTTAGCTGATCACCATGGCAACCTGGAAGAGCTTCAGAGGCCCTCTAGTCTGCTTTCTAAAAACATGGAAATTTGGTCCAAGACGGGAAGCAAATTGTCTCAGGACCCACAGTGAGTCAGCTGCTGGGATGAGGAGAGAACTTGATTAGTTCTAGGCTCTCCTCATATCTTCCTGACTTACTGAGAGACAGATTGCCTGTGTGGGGAAGGAGAGAAAGGAGAGTGGACATGATCCAGGTTTCCTACAGGGCTGGATGGGGCTCATCACACCACAAGAACTCTGCAGCACCTGGGGACAGCTTCCAGTTGGTCCCGGACCCTGGAAAGACCCAACCACAATCCAAGCTGTGCCCCGGACAACTTGGACTGGGCTGAGGGGAGTCAGGTCCGAAGAAACCCTTAGCAATTCTTCAAGTGTGATTTCTCCCAACTCCCCCACTTCCTGCTCAGAAGATCATCCGAGGAAACCAGTGCCCCATAAGGACTCGGGCACCCCAGTCTAGAGCCAGGGGGCATGAGTGGAATGGACACTGCTGGTCCCTGCCTAGGTCTCCTTTCCTGGGCCAGTGCCCCTGTCCCCAAATCAAAGTGCAGGTTCCTAGCTAAGGGCTCCCAGCTATGCCTTTCCCCAGGGAACTCCCTCAGCCCACACAGCCACTGTGTTTGGAGATGTTGGAGAGATAAAACCTCTGTCCACATCTGGGGAACAGGCGGCAGGTGATGACTGACAGATACAGCACAAAGAGCCAGTCATGCTCACAGTGGGACACACCCTGGGTGTTTCAATGCACACTCTAGAGTTCCCTGTCACATCAGGGTGAGCTGGCCTCTGGTTTAAGCTGCCTTTGCTTAGCTTCTTCCCCTGCCCTATTGTGTTCTCCTCATCCCCTTCTACATTTCTCTCTAGAGTTCCCCATCGTTCCCCATTCCCCCACCGTTCACCTGCCCAAGAACCCCATGTCAGGCTATGCATCTAAGGCAGTATGTAGCTCTCTTTCTGAGCTCTCTTCCCTCTCCCCAGACCCATGTGCTGGGAGAGAGCCACAGACGGTCCCAAACTCGGTGCCAGAAGTTTATTCTGGTGAAAAAGACTTAAGTTTCCCCTTGTTCTGGGACACTGTGCTGTTGCCATGGGTTCAGGGGCCACTCTGACCCCTGACTCCATTAATCAGACACTGATCAGGCATCCACTACATGCCCAGCAACTGCTTGGAACACTGGGGTGCAAGGGAGACAGAGTTCCTACCCTGGCCCTCTCAGGTCAAAAATCTTCTCATGATGCCCCTCAGCCCCGAGTCACACACTGGCAATTTAATACACAGAACCTTCAAAATGCTTTTAATTTCTTTTAATGTATAACAGTTATGCCTGAGTTACAGAGGCAGCGCTTACAAGCAGCAGGTAGTTAAAGCAAATACCAGTTTCTCTTTCTAGTCTACTATTCCATATAGCTGAATAAATTATGGTGTGATTATATTTAAACACACGCCCATACGCACACATCCCACTCACACCCTCACGCACACACACTCACTTCTGCGAGGAGAGAATGGCTGTGAGTCAAACCCGAAGCAACGACGTTGCTGTTACTAGGAAAAAGGAATGATCTAGAGCACTATGTGAATATATTTCCCAGGTTGGGTTGGCCACTTCAGAGTTGAGAGAAGAAGCATTAAATACACAGGTGCCTTGGAGCATTTCAAGATGGCGCTGGAATACCCCCGTTTGGTCTTGGTTTGGTGCTTCTATAGGAGGGGAGAGAAAACCTGTGGACCGCACAAACGTCCAATACGGAAACACACATTCAGGAGCTTGGTGAGAACATCAGGCCTGAGAGAAGATTCAGAGAAAGTCTTTTCAGGTGGCAACCACAGAGTTTCTCACCAAGGTCCTGGGTCCAAATCTCAGAATGTCTCACCAGCTCCATCTGGACCAACACTGGATGCTGGTGGAGGCCTCAAAGTCAGCACCTGTCCTGTTCTCCAGCCATAGTCAGGTCAGCAATCAGACCTTTTCATTTGTCTTCTGGGCAAACCTCTCTTCATTCTTCTCTCCTCTCTTATGCCCCTACTTCTCTGTTTCCTCTACTTTTTAATGTTCTTCTGGGAAAAGAACAGCAAAGGTGAATCAAGTGAAAAAGAAGAGTATAAAAGCATAGCTCGGTTCTTACACATCACTTTTTTTTCTTCATAGCAAGAGAGATACCAAATGAAAGAACAAAACAACAAAAATTGAAAGACCTCAGTAGAGCCTGGAATGTATAATCTGAAACACACAATATGCAGATATATCCCTACAGATGGTCCCTGGCACTAGCACGACACACACTGTGGGGGTTTCTTTCCTTTTTTAGTATATATATTTATATATAAAAAGTCAACTTCCTATAAACAAACAGCACATCACCACATTTCCAACTAATGTACATGAGCTCAGAAGAGGGCCCCCCATAGGTAGGACCAATAGCTACTTGGGATAAGTTGGAGAAGAAATCTCTTATTTTGCTATGAACTCTATTTACAGGGATGGGGGGCTGCTGACAAACCCCAAAGGGATCGCAGCCTTGTGCCTCTTGTTCCACTAACGTCATCTCTCTGGTGAAGCTGTGAGCTGCTGACACAAGGCTGAGTTTTATAGACTGGGTTGGATAGACACATGAATACAAGGGCTTTTAAGGGAAACATTTCTGGGATCAAGGGCCCTGAAGAAAATAAGTCCCATTTTGTATCAAGTTGGTGGCTTGGGACAGCTTCAGAGATGTTAGATGTAGTGAGAAATCATTTGGTTTATTCCCAAGCAGATCTTGGTTCCATTTCACCATGGGAGGACAGGCAGATCCCTGGGATTGGTCCTAGCTTTGGAATGCCACCTCTTGGATGTGGCTGGGCAGTTCTGATGTCACCTGCCTGAGATCCCTGCTCCTGAGTCACATAGGGCCAGGCCTCCAGGGGAAAGGAGTGACCATTCAAGGAATGTGAATGAAGATGTGATTGGTCTTCTGGAAGAGATGCTTTTGGCTGTGATAGCTACAAAAGCATGGACTAGGTTTTCAAGGGAACAACATGATCTTTCCTTCGGTCCAGAGCTTGAAGAAACCAGTCTCTTGCACTGGAAGCTCCAGTTGAAACCTTGGCTTCCCTTGACGGGCCACATCTGTCTGGCTGCCCGCTGCTCCCAGAGAGTCTATTTGTCACCAGTTATTAATAGGGTTCCCTTAACTAGCCATCTTGTTCATGCCGTGAGATTGGCTAGATATGACTGGGTTTGAAGATGAGAAACAGGTGAGCATGTGTCACACAGTTGACATCCTTGGAGAGGTTCTAAGCATCTTGCCAACCAAGAGGAAAGAACTCAGATTAGCTCCCAAGGCAGAGCCCTTCTCTCTAGAAATGTCTCGCTGGCTGAGGGCCAGGGACATGGACTGAGCAAAGTGGAGGCCTTCGGAGCTCAGGTGGAGACAGGCAATTGGGTCCAATGTTTGTGGATTCAGGGCTGTGTCTCCCTTACAAGTGTCCTGTGCCCAGCAGCACTTGATAAAAGTGATCCAAGCATAGATTATATGATGATGATGGTGAAGGTGAATAAATTGTGATAAATAAGTGAAGGTGGTAAAGAGTTCCAAGGGAGGAGAATGAGGGGCTCGAACTAACCCCCAAAGGTCCCAGCTCTCAAAAGAGTGGCGCTTGAGGAAGCCACTGGTGGTTAAGGAAGGTGCCTTCCCCCTCTTCTCTAGAGCCTTTGGCATCTTCCTCTGTCCAGTGATGGTGGCTTGAAAACCAGCCACGTATGCCCCAGCTCAGCTACACCCACTCAGGAGCTGGAGGCCTCTTGGCCAAATGAGTTGACCTAAGATGTCACTCTGGGTGGGACAGAGACATGCTTCCGCCAAAATGCCAAGGGGACTTGGGAGTCTGATCTGTGGGTCCAGGAAGCCTTCTCCACAGCTCCGGAGGAAGCTCTCTGCACTTCAGCAATGTCAGGGGATTTGAGGGAAGTCAGAGGTCCCTCCCCAGGGCACGGGGTTCAGTCTCTGTTGGAGGCTTTGTACAGAATCTAAATTCCAGGGCTGAGAACTCGAAGGTTGAGAGCTGAAACTTTGGCCTCAAGGGTTGGCCACCCGCAAGAGAAGAGATCTTGGTTACAAAAGCCCCTCAGAGCCCACCTTGTGCCTCTTCCTCCTCTAGCCTCAAGACTGCCCCTTCCCATCTCATCTGATCCAGCTAAGAGGAAGACACAAGGGTCTGTGGGCTCCCTGGCTCTTCGTGTGGAGGGCAATGGTGGAACTGGGCTTCCCTCTGAGAGGCTTCTGCTCCCTGAGGCCTGAGCTGAATCCTGATGCCCTAGGCCAGTACCCTGAGGACAAACACAGCCCCCATATGACCTAAGATACCGAGCAGGGGTGTATGGGGAGGGCTGCTCAGTCTTCCATATTCCTGGGTGGAGCTGTGACTGTCACTCTGCCAACTCCCTGGGAAGATCTCAGGCTCTCCTCTCTGTTGGAGTCCCGGTCTCCAGAGGAGGAAAGGGCTGTGGTTCTAGGGCTGGGCTAGGGGCTCACCTTGTAGGTGGCTCCCAGCTCCTACAGGTGAGAGCTACCCTGAGCTTCATCTACTCTTCTAGTCAGCCACGCCCGGGACCCGGGCCAAAGGGCTCCAGCACTTCATCTCAGCCACTGTCTTCTCTGGGTTGAGGTGTTCTGTTCAGGGTGAGCCTCTGCCTCCATGCTGAGATGGCCCTGAGGCCCCAGCAGGTTTGAGTGGGGAGTACTGCAGGGCCGGCAGGGGAGGGAGGGGGCAGATGCTGAGGGGGCCACTCTGGGTCCCTAACCACAGGTGAATGACAGACTGGTTGTACATCTCCAGAGGGCTGCCACTGAGAAGGGATGGGCTCCTGTCCTGGCCTCCTGTGATCCCAGGGGGATGAGGGGACCAAGGAGGGAGGCTCAGGGGTCAGAAAGGGTTGGGCTGGGGCTTGGGCTGGGGCAAGTCGCCCCAGGCACCCTAGTAGGCCTGGCCAGTTTCCACAGGCAGGAGTCCCAGCACAGTGGAGTGCTCCCCGAGCTTCATGCGACGCTGTGTGGAGAGGCTCACATTTTTGGCCAGGTAATCAACAGCAGCTGGAAAAGACAGAGAGGAAAAGGGGCGGGGGGGGTGGGGGGTGGAGAGAGAGACTCCTAGAAACTGAGGTTCTTTTGATTTGTTTTTCCTTTTACCATGCATGCATCATCTGCCCTTCTGTCCATATATCCGTCCTTCAGTTCATCTGTTTTAGCCATCCACCCATTCACCTATTCATCCATCCATCCATCCTTCTGTTCATCTATTCCTCTAGCCACCCAGCAGTCCATGAATCCATCCACCCACCTATTCATTCTCCATCTTTCTGTTCATCTGTCCACTTGCTATTCTAACCACCCTTCCTTCCTTTTCCCCTCCTTCCCTTCCTCACTCTCCTTTTGTTGCTTATTTCATTCATTCCATCTCTTCATGCAGTTCTTTCTCATCTCCTCTCCATTATTCAGCAAATATTTACTTAACATTTATTATTTGCCTGCCTTTCTTGTAGTTTCTTAGGGGAGTTCAGGTGGGTATCCACAGTGATATGTGAAGAATTAATCCCTTTCCAACAATCCCTCTACACATCCTGACTATGTGGGATAGCCAGCAAGTCTCATTGAGGCCCTATAACAATGAGGGAAAGGTCCTTCTGCCTCCTTCTGCCTTTCCTGGACCTGAGCCTAGGTCATAAGTTAGGCAAAGCAAGACTCCTGCACAAAAGCCAAAGCAGCTTTTGCAGGTGAACTGAAGAGTCCATGCAGAAGGAGGAGCCAGGGCCCTGTACACAGGAAGCTGAGGTCTGTCTGAGGTCAGCAGGTTAGGGGTTATGTGTGTGCCTGTGAGTGGTACACACTTGTGCATGTATAACAGTGTGCAAACAGTGGAAACAAGAATCTCCATGCAGCAGTAATGGGCATGTGCATGAATGTTCACACAGAGCAATACTCAGATGTGTGCACATGCTTTGCAAGCCCTGCATACCTCCCTGAGCACAAGAGTAGGAGCAATGGCTGTGCAGGCACTGTGTGCAGGCACTGTGTGCAGGTGAGCTCCACATCTGTCTCCGTTCATGTGCAGGTGTGACCTCTGGCCTGCAGGGACATGTGTCCTGTCCCAACTGCTCTAGCAGAGGCTATAGCACAAAGCAGCACCAACCAAGTGACCTGGCTGCTTTGTGGCATGGCCTTTTGAGGCACAGCTGTGGCCAATCCAGCCTCCTGGGACCACAAGAATCCAGAGGTGAGGGAGAGAGAAGAGCACTGTACTAGGAGTCACCAGGGGCTGCTGTCCTGCCTGGGCTTTCTCAGAGTTGGAGGCTCCTGCCTGGGACAAGCAGGTAGAACCAGGAAGCATGGATGTGGCCTGAGGAGAAAGCCAGGCAGGCCCCATTGCTTAGTCCTTCGGAGGACCTATGCTCAAATCCTGAGCCTGCCTACTTTGACTGCGTGATTTGGGGGACCGCATTTCACCCACCTAAACCCCAGAGTCGCTGTCCATAAAATGGGTGTATTAAGGGCACTGAGGCTGAAGGGATAGGGAGAAGGTTCAGTGAGAAAATATTAGTTAGGGCAGTGTCTGGCAGCTTGTGAGCTCAAAAGCCATGAGCTCAAGTGCAGTGGAATCCCAGGACTGGGATTTGGTAAGTAAACGTGACCTTTGATGTGAACAAGAAGCAAAGGGTGCAGCTATCATGCAGCTTTAGACTCTCACTCTTTTCTCCAGGACTCCTTCCTCATCTTTGAAGTGGGGAGAAGAGGCCACGTGCTCGGGGATGCTGCTATGGGGGTCATGTGAGGCAATGTTCTTTATGATGCTGGTCACAGAGGGCCCAGGGAGCACAGGGCCTACGTGATTCTTAAAGGATGTGCAAATGCCCTGGGGTCTCTTTGGAGTGTCTGGAACCCTGTGCCCCTCAACTTGCCAGGGGCTCCAAGGGCTGAAGGGGCAAGTTAAGGCCACCTACTGCCTGCATTGAGCATTGGGTGCTGCCAACCTCCCCCTGAAGCCAACTGGCCTTCAGGTTCCTGGCTGGTAGAAGGGAAGAGGATGCCCCTTAAGGTGGAGGGGGTGTGGCACTGCCATCTCTGGCTTTGGGGAGACCCTGCAGCTCTGGCTACACCATCTCCTCTTCCTCCACTCAACCAGGAGTCCCCATCTCAGAGGGGTGACAGGAAGAGGGAGAGGAGGCCCAGCCCTGACAAAGTGCCCACCTTGGACAGGGCCTGCTGGCTCTCAGCACCGGATGGTTGTTGTTCACTAAATTCGCATAGTCATTCTATGAGGCTGGGACAGGAGTGTCCCCCACCACAGAACAGGGAGCCAAGGTCCTGAGCAGTGGCATGATTTTCAGGGTCATAGGGCTCGTAGGTTGTGAAGCCAGGATTCAAGCCCAGGCACCCTGGTGCCAGCTCCAGGAGTCACCAGCAGCTCTGTGCACGGCACTCGAGAGTGTGGGAGGTACTTCCCACCCAAGTCCTGCATGGGACCCACTTCTATTCTGTGCAGTGGCAGGGGCCTGTGCACGGGCACACAAACAGCTTGGGAGACCTGTCCCCCTGCCGCCTACCTGGACTTATTCCATACCACAGCAACCCCTGACTACCTCTCCAGCCCTTCTTGCTGAGGAGTCTGCCAAGACTGACTGAGAAGTCAGAGTGATTCTGCGAGGCTGAGGCAGGAGGATCAAAAGTTCAAGTCCAGTTTGGGCAACTTGGTGACTTTGCAAGATTCTGCCTCAAAAAATAAAAAAGGGCTGGGGATGGAACTCAGCTTGTTCAATTCCCAGTACCAGGGGAAAAACTACAGAATGAAAGACCTCGCTTAGTGAATGCTTACTGTGTGCTAGGTGGCCCTGGTCCCATTTCATTCTTTCAATAGCTCCTTGCTTTGGGTAAGATTGCTCCCATTTGACAGATGTGCAAACCAAGGCACAGGACAACTGCTGGTCTAGCCTTGTTCAGCACCTGACATGGAAGCGCTCGGATTGGTCATGCTCCCACCTCTATGCACTCTGCGTATCTTCTCCTCTTCCACTTTCCTATTACCACCCCCCACCCAGCACATAGTAGGAGCTTGCCTGGGCCCTGTCCAGGTGGCCAAGGAAACACCAGGCCACCAAACTTCACTGATAACCCAGCCGACTTCAAGGGCACCCAAGGGCCACAGAGCCTGCCTCTCCCTGGGTGGAGCCGAGGGGCTGGCGAGGGCAGGGCTGTGACATTTCTCATTAGGGCCTCAGTCAACGGCCCTCCCCGTCCCGCTGTCTCTCCGTGTGTCCCTCCTCTGCCTCTTGCCCCTGCCTGGGCTCTAAACATCTCAAATTAGATTAATCAGGAGTTGGCAGGAGCTGTGGCTTTGGTGCCAACCAGTAAACAAATCTCAGCCGTCAGCACCTCGTCAGCCCTAGGCCCCAGAGGAGGACCCTTCTAGACACAAATTCTTATTAGACTTGTCAGATCTATTAAAATTCTTTTCACACTTCTGAGTTCTATCAGCCCCATCATTAGTATGGCCCTGGCCTCTGGGAACACCAGGGCCATATTAATCTGCAGAGTGCTCCATCCCTGGCCCCCTGCCCCCCTCCCCGGGACAGGGAGGGACAGATAGACAGATGGACAGTGGCCGGAGTAGGAAAAGAAGGTTAGCCAGTGTCCCTGGAAGGTGAGAGCCCCGGGAGAGAGGAGGAGGGCTCCTCCGTGCTGGAGCTTTGATGTCTTCCATGCACAGCTGAGCGGTCCTCCAGGGGCTGGGCACTGGCTTCCATCGCTGCTGCTGGTTGACCTCAGGCAAATAACCTCTGGGATGCCATGTCGTCACCCCCCAAGGGGACAGCCACCCAGTGAGGTGGCCGAAGGTGGGATGTCAGGCCCACAGTAGATGCTCAGTAAATGGGCATTTCCCCTTCCTTCGTCCACATGTCAGTTTCTGTTCAGATTTTGGAACCCTGTGTGTTCACACACTAGTGATACTCACATGTAACCTACTGCTTACACCTGTCCAGGTGTAGATGTGTGTGAAGCTGTGAATGTGAATCCATGTGCAGCTGGGTCTAGGTACGTGTCACTACCCACCGCCTCTGCTGTGGGGCCTGGGAAAGCTGCCTGGCCTCTCTGAGCCTGGCTTTTGCATCTGCAATCGGGGGATAATAACTGAGAACAATGTGAATGAGATTTCAGCCAGTGTCCCATGGGATAAGCCAAGCCCAGGACAGATGTGAGCAGGTGACAGGTGAGCCCCAGTGCAGACATAGCAGAAGTTCAGAGCATGTGGCTTGGTGTGTGCTGTGGGATCCCAGCAATAGATGCAGCCAGTGGAACACAGTGTGTCTGTCCCTGACTGTCAAAGTTGAGGGTGATGGGGCACTAGGAAAACTGGGAGGTGACCAGTCTCATCCCTGGTCCCCATTTCACAGCTGGAAAGACTGAGGCTCAGAGAGGCAAGTGTGTGACTACTTGGTGGCAACGGAGCAGCCATTCCAGCCAACCCCACAGCCTCCTTGGGGTAGGGTCCGTGCGGAGCTGCCCCTCAGGTGGGGCTGGAGGAGGTGGCCCAAGAGCAGCTCAGAGCTGACCCTGGAGGAGCCAGGGCACAGGAGGGGAGAAGAGAGAGGAAGGAGGAGGAAGAGAGGAGGGAGGGGGGGTGGGGATGGAAGGAGAAGGCATGGGGGCCCTCCCCCTGCAGCTTTCCAGGCCTGGGGAGCAGGCACCCCTCTCTCGCCTCCTGGGCGCCTTCTCTTTTGATCCCCTCCCCCACCGCCCCACGCTGACTTTGGGGTTAATTTTATTTCCGAATGGGCAGGCGCCCCTGGAGCCTGTCCAGGGCTCTGGGTGTGACTAACTCCTCCGGCCTGGGGCCGGCTGCACTGCCACTGCACCGGTCTCCAATCTTGATCGAGAGCAAGTCTGTCCCGCTGGAGTCGGGAACACGCTCGCGTTCAGGGGGTTGCTGGGTCCCTCTGGGGCCGGTCCTGTGCACACGAGTGCCCCCTGCTCCCGAACAAACACCCCGTGCACACACGGTCACACAGCCAGTGGTGCACACAGACACGTCACACAGGCACATCCAGATGCACGTGCCACATGGTGCACGTAGCAAAACTCACATGCATAGATTCCTCAAGCATATGTGCACACATGGGCACACTGCTGTGCATATTTACACATGTGTACACGTTTATGTGGGACATGTGGGCACATATGCCAAGCACATGGCATATACACACACCTGCATGCACATCTGAGCTTATATGTGTTATCATCACATATATGTGCAACATGTGTGCTCATGTATTCATGCATACAGAGCCAAATGCATAGCACGTGTATACAACATGGTCATTTATGTGCACACATGTGAGAATCATATGCAATATGCCCACCTATGCTCCTCACACCTTTACACACACATGTAACTTGCCTGACTGCAAAGATGCATGCACTACACGGATCCTGGAGTGCTCAGACACATCACACGTACACAGGGCACACTCAGATGAATTGTAACTCACCCCCTGTACATGCATTCACACCCACATGCATCTGTGCGTACACACAGCAAGGGTCCAGGAGCACAGCTGGGAGGTGGAGGCCGACACAGCTGGCCCTCATTTAGCCATGGAGGCCAAGGCCATGGGAGGAAGAGTGGGTCAGGGGGGCATAGGGACAGGGGTCAGTGAGGCCGGCCAGGCTGCTGGGGATGGGAGGATGCCCTTGGGCATGGAGGCCTCACTGTCCCCCCACACGCCCTTCTGATTAGTTTGACACCAGCAGGTGAGGCCTTTGCCGGGAGGCGGGGCTGGAGGGGAGCCTTGTGACCTCTGGCTCCCTGTCCTGTGTGGGCTGCCCCACTGCTGGCCCCGGCCCACCTCTTCCAGCCTTTGGTCTGAGGATCTGCAGTCCTGGAATCAAGGCCTGGTGCCAAGAGGACAGCGGCTGGGTGAGCATGGGAGACCGTGGCGTCTGGGGAAACCGAGGCCCAGGGAGTGGGCTGGGTTGGGAGACAGGTCCAAACACAGCTTTCTTCACACCACGGGGCTGAGAAGGACAGGACATCACGGGGCTGTCCGCCCTGGTGCCACCAGCTACAGCAGCTACCGAGCACCTGACCTGGGCTTGTCCAACCAGGGAGCCCAAGTGCAAGTGTTTATTTAGTTCCATCTAATTTAAAACTGGTCTTCAGTTAGTTATTTCATGGTTGGAAAACTTACAAGTCCATTCGGAACAACTTTGGTGCGCAAATTCACATCCCCTTTATGATCTGTATGAAATTTAAATACTGATCCACTCTTCTGATGAACACTTTCTGTCTGAATTAAAATGGCTCAGGAGGGTAAAACACACACTGCATATCAAAGATGGAGTTTGAAAGAGAGAATGCAGACTATCTCAATCATTTTATGTGGATTACGTGTTGAAATCATCTTTTGGATATACTGGATTAAACACAAGATTAGTAAAAATAAGTCCACTTGTTTCTTATGTTTTAAAATGTGGCAACTGTGCTAAATGACATCTGTGGCTCACATTGTATTTTTAGAGGTGCCTAAGGACACAGGCAGGGGCCTGGTCAGGAGATGATCTGGGTTTGATGCCCAGCTTAGAATCGTCTGGGGTCAACTCTGCCCCCTTTCTGGATCTTGGTTTCCCCACCTGTGAAATGGGAACCCACATCTGCCCCCGGCTGTTTGGTCTCTAGAAATAAGCACGAGGCCTCTGAAGTATGGGCAGGGAGGGGGGGGGGCACTCACTCTGGCCGTACTGGCCGTACTGGTAGCCAGCCACGGGGTCCACGCTGTAGCCGGTGGTACTGTAGGTGGGCGGGCAGTAGGACTGGGACGTGGGCAGGCTGTCTCCCGACTTGATGGAGTCGGCCCGCTGGCAGCTGGCCGAGATAGAGGAGGCTGAGTCCAGGCCACCGTGCAGCGGGGAGATGGAGAAGTCGGCCTGTGGCTGCGGCGGCACTGCGCTGGGGTTGCTCAAGATGCTCATGACCTGCAGGAGAGATGGTCAGTGTCCCGCCCAGAGGACAGACCCCAAGGGTGCCAGCGCAGAAAGGACCACACCTGATGGTCCCTGGCAGCCTTTTGCTGGGATGGCTCCCTTGAGGTCCCTGCAGCATCCAGGTCCTCAGTTTACCTGGTTTGTGATGCCCCGTGGATGCGATGGTTACTGGTCTTTAGTGTTTCTCCTGCCCGAGTCCTGATTGTGGGGCTTCCCTCCACTGAGAGCTCTAAGGGGCAGGGCAGGGCATTTGGCACCTCTCTGTCCCCCCAGGGCCCTGCTGCTGAATGAATGAGTAAATGAATGAATGCATGCATGAATGAATGCATGTGGGCATGAATGAACTTGTTAAGAAAGCCTGGCTGCTGAATGATTGAGTGCATGAATGAATGCATGCATGAATGAATGCATGTGGGCATGAATGAACTTGTTAAGAAAGCCTGGCTGCTGAATGATTGAGTGCATGAATGAATGCATGCAAGCAGGTGGGCTTTCATGAACTAACTAGATACAGTGTCTCTCCTATCAGTCAGAGAGCTCCCCGGGGTTAGGGAGCTGTGCTTCCCCCATCAGACCAGGAAGGCCCCATCTTCCAATGTGAACATGGGAGCAGGGCTCTGCCTGCCTGGCTCCAACCCCTTTCCTGTGCTAGCCTTGCTCTGCTCTCAACTTCTCTGTGCTTTGAGCTTCTGCCCCTTCCACACCAAAGTACAAGCCCAACACTTTTAAACAGCTTCCCAGACATGCTTTGGTTCCGCCAGCTCCCCAAAGTCTGTGACCATCATCCCCCTCCCTATGTGGCCTGATTCAGCAAATAAAGTCTCACCATTACTGCTGGCACTCAGACTGACATGTGAGGCTTGTCTCTAGAAACTAGAGAACCTGGTATCGGGATAGTGGGATGTTCACTTATTCATTTAACAAAGAGGCACTAGTGTTAACTCTGGCCCCAGCTTCTAGCTGAGGATTGTGGGACTTCAGGGAAGTCCTGGTTCTGCCCTGGAGTTGCAGGATGGGACAGGGAGAGGACTGGGTCTGTCTGGGGAGGCAACGAAGACCATCAAGATGGGGAGGGAGGCAGCAGTCCCAGGAGAGTGAGCAGCCTGCGTGTCCCCATCAAACCTGGGGAGGACCCGAGGGAGGCGGGTCCTTGTGGCCCTGGTGACCTCCTGGTGATGCCTATGGGAGGGGACAGCTCTGCAGGTCACCCGCCCAGCTCTGGGCAGGGGAAGTCATATGGCCGGTGCTGTGGTCTCTGACTTCTCCGTCCTCCTCCCTGACACCAGAGAAGGTGAAGACTAGACCCCTCTGAAGCTGCCCAGATGTGTCCCGCCGAGGGTACTAAGCCCAGGCCATGGAGGAGGACAGACACAGCACCGTGTGATGCTTCGCAGCTGTGACAGTAGAGGTGTTCCCCCGGCTTCCCTGACTGTCAGTGCTGGGAGAGGGGATGAAGGGGGGTCTTGACTCACAGTGGGGCCTGGGTGGGGGCCGCGTGCATGGAGCAGGCTGTGCAGGGAGCCTGGCTAAGCGGCGCAGCCATTACTCCAGGGTGCCCACCTCTCAGATGGAAACACTGAGGCCCAGGTCTCCCTCAGGTGCACAAGCTGGCTTCACCCACCCCAGCCCACCTGGGAAATGTCGGGACTGACCCTCCGACATGGGGTCGATGGCTCTGAGGCCTTCAAAGGGTCTCACTCCAGGCCTCACTCAGGGGCCAGGCCAACCCAGTTCTTCCCTGGCTGGGTCACCTCCTCTGTCTCTTCCTCCTCTAGGCCCTGCAGGGACTGCTAAGTGGCTGCCTGGGCTCCACTGTTGCTGTGGGGATGGAGGGGGTCAGGTGGGCGGGGATGGTGTAGATGCCCCGCTCCGAGATGGGAGACAGCAGAAGAGAAGAAGGAGCAGAAGCCAGAGCCAGGCCACTCTGGACCCCTCTGGGACACCTCGCTATTACAGGGAGCAGCGGGCTCCCCAATTTGCTCTGCACCGGAGGCCTATGTCACTGCAGGGCCGACAGCGGGTGCTGCGGTGGCCATGCAGGAGCTGTCTGACGCACTGGGCTGTGGAGCCGGAAGGGCAGGAGAGGATTTCAGGGCAAACTCTGGAGCTAATTCCACCTCCCCAGGCTACGTGCTGGGTTCCCAATCTGGACCCTGCTTCCCACTCCCCAGCCCACAGACACCAGCCTGCTCCCCACAGAGGAGGCCCAGGCCCTCAGAACTCATGGGGAGGGTCTGTCGCTCTGTGCAGACTCAGTCTGATCCCACACACCACCAAGACGCCCAGCCCAGAGGGATGATGGGATGGGCTGGGAGCTGGGCACAGACCCAGTATTCATCTGGTCAGACAGGGACTGCAGAGAACTGCAAACAAATCTACCACATCACTCAAGAAACATCAATGGCTCCTCAGTACCCCTCTGCAAAGGCTTCTTGTGATCTGTCCTTTACCTACCTGTCCCAACTCCTCCCATCCTTTCCTACGCTGGACTTTATGCTACAGCAACACCAAACAATGGGTCATTTCCTGAAGAGAATTTTCATTCATTCAGTTATTCATTCAACAAACATTTCGTAGAACACTACTATGTGCCAGGCTGTACATATGCTGGACTGTGAGCACCCTGAGGGCAAGATGGTGTATTCTACTGTCTCTACTGCCCTGGTGCCTGCATTGTGCCCGCTATATACAGTGAGCTCAGAGAAGCTCTGCTTAAATTCATTTAACAAATATTTATTGAGCACTTATTATGTGCCAGATGCTAAGCTTAGAGACATATCAGTGAAGATTCCAACTCCATGTCCTTCAGGAGCTGCCAGTCTAATGAAGGGCGCCAATGACAAAGAAGTGAACAATGAACAGTATAACTTCGGGGTCTGACAAATAATGTAGAGGAAAAATGAAAGTGCATGGTGAGGGGGTGGTTGGGGGGTCAGGCAAGACTTCCTCAAAGAGGTGATACCCAGCAAGTCCAGAAAGAACCAGTCACGGGAAGCTGTGGCAAGAAGGGCTTGCCAGGTAGGGAAATCTGCACATGCAAAGGCCCTGGGACAGGAACACACCCAGCAGGTTTAAGAAACAGCAAGAAGGTCAGCGCTCAGAAGAGAAATCCTGGGAGCTGTCAGGCCTCCTACAGTCCTTTGTTTAAAAGGGCTTGTGTGGTGCCCCATGGCTCAGAGGCCTTGGACCCTGGAGTTAACAAACAGCTCAGAAACAGCTCAGGCCCAGGGAGCTTTTCCCGTAATAGGATTTGCCCTGGAACATCAAATCAAATTCACATCTGGGGTAGGTGTGAATGGGGGCTGCTCAGTGTCGGCTCAGTCTCTCCGAGTCCCCAGAGGCCCGTGGATCAAAGTGCTTCCCTTTCACCTGACCCCCTGTCTCCAGGCAGAGCAGCTTCCAAGCAAACGGGATGGCACCCGAATGAAGAGAAGTGCGAGGGGACACTCTGTTGGGGCAGGACCAAGGACCCTGGGTCACTTCAATGGTTCCTCAAGCAAAGGGGTTATTATTCCTCCCATTCTGCAGATGGGAAACTGAGGCATGAGGAAATTAAAAAGCTCATCCGAGGTCAGACAGCCAGGTAGTGACAGAGAGGGGATCTGCACCAGGTCTCCCAGCCCCCCCCCCCCCGGCCCGGTGTGCAGGGAGAGCATCGCAGAGGCCACTCGGACTCTCCCAGCCTCCCCGGCCCAGGGACCTCTGCAAGTCCCCGCTCTGCCTGCAGAAGCAGGAAGTGCTCTGCCCACAGTGAGGGGCCCTGCCAGGTCCTGGGCCTGCAAACTTTTGAACTTGAGGAAGTCCCCGCCCTATGTGGTGATCCACCCCCCTCAAGAATGCCGAGCCCTCTCCCCGGGTGGGTTCTACGTTTTCCTGGTGACCTTGCTTTTGGTAATGTATTACTTCTTGGTACCTTACCGTTACTAACTCAAAATCAATACCGACCTCCACATCTGTAAGGTTTTATCTGAAGGCAAATCTCAGGGCTGTCCGTCAGGCTGAATGACAGCTGTCCCTCCCTCCCCCTCCACCCCACCCACCACTGCCCCCTTTCCTCTCCCTCTGCTCCAAATCAGTCCCAGCCTGGACCAGACTAAATCAATAAGAGGCCAGCCTCACCCTCCCTTCCGCCCCTGGGGAGAGGCTGGCTGGTTTTGGGGGTGGGGCCCCCTTCCACAGCCTCAGCCTACCTACCCCCTCCCCTGGGACGCGCTGCCGTGCTCCCCTACTTTAAAAGAAGGGGATGGGAAAATGTAATTAATTCCCTCCGTTGCTGAGCTGGCCCCGAGGGCCTGGGACGGAGGAGGCTGAGCTGCGAGGTCTGCACCCTCTGTGATAACCGAATGTGGCTTGGGGAGCGTGGCTGCAATTAGAGGGGCCATCCCATCTCCCAGCTCCACGGCAGGGTCTGCTGGGTGGGCAGGGGCCGCGGCAGGGTGCGGGGGACTGGGAGGCGCAGGGGCCGGGGTCTGGTGAGGTCAGGATGGTGGGAGCATGGTGGGTGGGGTGGAATCAGATCAGGAAACCCCACTTCCACATGGCCGGAAGGGGAGCCTGAAGTCCCCAAGACCAGATGGCAGTTTTGCTGTGGACCTCTAGCCAGTTGGTGCTGGGTCTAGGGGCTTCCTGCAGCCTGGGGGATGAATATCTTCTCCAGCATCAGTGCTCTGTGGATGACGAGCTGACCCTGGCAGTTTCTTTAGCCTTCTGGGCCTCAGTCTTCTCATCTGTTCAATGGGAATTGTAGCTACCTACAGGATCACTATCCGTACTGAATAAGCAAGCACATGCAGGATGCTTGCGACAGGCCCCAGCTATCCTCCCCATGCCTCTCCTACTCATCTTACAGTTGAAGAGAGGGCAGAGGTAGATGGCAGGTGTGGCCACCATCCTGAGATCAAAATGGGCCCCGGAGAGCAGGTTCAGGGCCCCCTCCTGGTCAGGGACATGTCCTTTCCATCTCTTTTCCCCCAGGAGTCAGTCCCTGGCGG